TCTTCACGTTAGGTTTGATAAAGCAAAGTGCAGGGGATTTGAGTCTCCAGCTCTTTTATTTGTCTTACGTACACCTTGGTGTTTGCACCATGGTGGTTTATTTTTCTAACAGCTTCTGGTCTGCCCTCATCTATAAATCGACCTGTTTCATGCAGCACGGGTTGGGCGGGGGGGTTGGGAAGCGATGTTTAGGAAGGAGGGTTATTTTTGGAGGGGGGGGTAGCATTCTAGCTTAGAGAAGAGACCAGTATTTCAGACAAAGCAAATCCCAGCAGGTCTCCTTGCAGGTCTCCTCTCCTCTTCTCCTCAATTATTTAGGCTTGCTCTGGGGCGACGTGCGGCCGTACCTGCTGCGGCAGGATGACAGCGGAGCGCCGGCCTTTTCAGACGCAGCAGCTCGCTCCCGGTGCTGTCCCGGAGGATCGTGGCAGATTGCAAACACGCTCGGCACAATCATACCGTCCCAATTAGCATAATGATGCTGCCTAATTTATGCGCCGATTGTCCTAATTTATGAGTGTCGACACACACGATTAAACCAAGCGCGGGTGGGACAGGATTCGGTCTCAACCCAACCAGGGAAGCGTAAAGCTGCATCCCCACCAAAATGTGTGAAAGGTCCAAAATTTGTTCTCCGCGTTACTAAAATGTGGAGCTTTGTGTTGTTTTGCCCCCGCAGCTCTGGCAGCACGAAGGGGTGTGGGGCAGGACTAAACTCGCGGCAGGAGGTAAGAGAATTAAAGATTCCTGTGCTGAGATTTGCATGGATTAAAGGCAGCTTTAATTTGCCTTGATACACTTGGCTTTCAGGTGGATTACGCAGGCAGTGGGATTTGGGGCTGTCTAGCCGACTAATACCTGCTTTACTTTTATTTTAATTATTTTAATAAGAGATAGAGGAGCCTTATAACTGCAGGCCACCTTTGCCAACCCCAGACCTTGAGCATTTTTGTGTGAAACATTTTACACCATCAACGTTCTCAATTACCAAACCCACTGACGTCTGAAATCCCACCTAGTGCGGCCGTTCCCAGAGCGCTTTCTCAGCGGGGTTCTTCCAAAAGAGACCTCTTAGTTTGTGGGCTTGTACGCCTCGTTTTTATAAAAGAAACGGTGGCGTGCCATCAAATTGTTCCATAGCAGGCGGGATGAGCCAGCGCAGAAACGGTCAGCTTGAGCGAGGTTCTCGTTTTGGATGCCTGCTGGTCCACCGTGCCCACCAAAAGGATTCATTCCCATGGCTTTGGGACGCCCGTTTGCTACAGAGAGTGGCACAACCTGGCTGCAGAGCTTTAGCAGCTTAATAGAGTGGGTAAAACAGGGTAGCAGGCTGTGAACTGGGTTTGGGCTCTCCTACCAGTGTGGTCACTGACCTCCTGCTTGAGCTGTTCTGGGAGAGAAGAAACGCCAAGGAATGGCACCTTCCTCAGGGTCCCATCCATCTTCTTGTAGGTACTGTATGCAGATTTTTTAGGGAGGGAACATTCTCCAGCACTTGATAACTCATGATAGAGCCCTGACCTCAGCTGAGGTATCTGGACACCTCTGAATTCCCAAGATCCATTCACTCCCAAGTACGTAACTCCCCCTCCGTAGCATTTTCCTGTTTGATGATGGGAAGCCACCAGTGAAGCTGCAGTTCTGGGGCTCCCAAGCTCTGTGAGATAAGGTGCCTCTGTGATTTGTTGAGGTGAAAACGTGCTTGAACTGTCTCCCGGCATCAACTTGTGCTCTGCCAGTTGACAGACTGTCCCGTGGGCCATCCAGGGGATGGAGCCTGCAGGTGGGCTCGCAAGTGTGCGGCTCTCAAAAAACACACAAACACGACAAATTCACCCAACTTCATACCAGTAAAACTGTTTTGTCATGTGAATCTAAGATACGAGCACACAGTAGACCTTCTCCTTCACCTGCTCTTGTTGCTTGCAGAGTTTGCAAAGGAAACTCTAGTTTTTTTGGCCCAGCACTGGACTGGAAGACGCTTGGCTGCTGAGTCCCTCCAGAGGCTTTCATAACTGCAGCTCTTTCTGAACCGGCTTGATATTACAGCGTTGTCCAGAAACATCTGGATCGGGTCAGTGTTGGGTTTCCCAATGCTGCCAGACTTGGAAAACTGAATTTTGGTTGTAGAGAATGGAAGCTCCTCCCTACAGCCAGCATGTCTTCCTTGCTGTTGATGTGCTCTAACAGTGCATACACCGAACCTGGTTAAATTGCTTTCATCCAAGCATATACAACTAACATACAGAAATAATAACTGCAAATAGTAATCATGCCATTCCCGAAGCCGGTGGGTTGTAGCCATGGCTTACTGCAGTCAGCTGACTGGGCCAGATCCTCAGGATACCGCATTTTTGGAGGATTATCTGGCAGGAAGATTACATTGCTGGCACGTTGGGTCACAGTGGGGTCGGGGCACGGCAGATGAGTGGGAAAGCTTGCGTGTGGCTGGGGCTGAGTAAGCCGAACGTGGGACACGGCACCTCCCTTCGGTTGTGTCGTGTGTTTGCTCTTTGGTAATTGTGCTTCCTCTGTGCGCAGGCCATATGACTAATTTGTAAGAACAGATGTGGATGTAAAATATTCTTGTAAGTATGTGCAACGTACAAGGTTTCTACTCCGACATACTCGAGCGACTCGAGTGCATGCCTGCACCACGTTCCATACCTGTCAAAAGGAATGGGGTTTATGAGTCACTGCAAGTCATGCACCATGAATTACTCTCTTCTTCTGTTACTGATCTGTTTTTACAGCCATCTGAAGACACAGTCTGCTCTAAAACCCATTCAGACATGTTGCATTGACTTTTATAAGCTTTTATAAGCTTATAAACTCCTTTGGTTTCATTCTGCCTTTGCAGTTGCTTTTTTTCATTACCTCCCAGTGTACATTGCTCCTTCAGCAAGATGTTGTCCTTGTCTTGCAAGGAGCTGTGAGTGTACACGGCATGTGTCTTGCTCTAAGCTTTGTAAAAACTGAGCTTCGTTACCGATTCCCTTTTAACTCTCAGATGATGCAAATAACGGCAGGGAAGGGGAGTCCTTCGTTCCAGCAAGGCTTTCTGAAGCTGGAGGTGAATGCAAAGTCTTCCGACTTTTTCTTGCGCTTAGCCCTGTCGGAGGCCGCGCTTTGAATCTGGCAGCTTTCTGAATGAAGGAATAAACTGACCCTGAAAATATTGACGGCACAGTTGCTGACACCAACTTCCTAATTCGATCCTGTAAAATTTGCCCCTTTGTTGTAAGTGCATATAGCTAACTGAAGGAGGGGAGGACCCCATCCCCGTTGCACGGGGAGGAGAGGACGGGCTGAAGGCTGGACTGTGTTCCTGCGGCCCCCCCAGTCCCCTCTGCCCCGAGAGAGCAGTGTCACTGGAGGTGTCAGGAAATGCTGGATCGTGAGGAGGAAAATACAGGTGGTGCAGGGGGACCAGGGAATTCGGCACGTCGATGGCTTGCTTGCTTTAGGCTAGAGACGAGAGAAAGCAGACACCTCAGCCGTTCTCCGGTTGCCTTGAAAAAAGAAATACCAGGAAAGTAACCCAGCTCTTCTCCTCCCTGCCAGATTCAATGTCTTTTTAATCTGTTCTCTCTCAGCTTCTCTTAAAATGGAAGTTGCTGGTGGTCTGCTCGGGTTAAGCAGCGATTCTGGCAGACTTCAGAGCAGACGTGATCTCCAGGTCTCATGGCTTTGAAGCTCCTGGTTCTATCACACACGACTAAATCAGACTTTTTCTTCTCTGTGGAGGTAAAAAATCAGCCTTGTGTGCCCATCTGATTGAAGTGCTGAGACTTGTCTAATTGAACAAGTGCTCGAGTCAACACTTGAGTAGGATGAAAAGCAGCGAGGAGATCACCCAGGGATTGTGTCTGAGCTTCGCAGCGACTTGGCACCGGCAGAGCAGATGGCTGGGTCACATCCTGCCCAAGGCTGGGGAGAAAAGATGTCAACAGGAAAAAAATATTAATTTGATTAAAAATATTCAACTCTAAATCTAGAAGTGCCTCGGGTTTCTAATTTCATACTTTATAGCATCAGCCCAGAAGATGGGATTAGTGAAGGGAGGGGTTGGTTCTGCAGACAGCCTGCTGCTGCCTCAAAGCTGAGGTAGATAAAAAATATTTTGGGAGGGAGAACAGAGATGGAGAGAGCGGGAGCGAGCTGGCTTGTCATGTAAAAGTGAGGATCAACCAGGAACAGTCTCGACTTTGTGAGTAAACCACGAGCCCCTGTGGTGCAGCTTTGCTGATGGAGTGAGGGACCCACGTCCGGGCGCTGGTGGGGAGGGAGCCTGGTTTGTGCAGACACGTAAAAACATCACAAACAGCACTGCAGGTCACCTGAGCCACAGGGACAGGCTTCAGCCTGTTTTCTTTAGGATTGCACTTGATCCTAGAGCCAAAATCTGTATCCAGAGAAGTTTTGGGGTTGGTGAAGTCTGTTGGTGGCTGCCTCAGTGGTACGTGGCCATCAGAAGCCGCAGTGACTACCACGTGGCTTTCTGGTCCCTTCCTGGGGTGAGAATAAATAAACATACACAGAACTGCTTTTTCAAATGCCTCAGTTGCTTGGGTAAATGCACACTTGTAGGAGCCCAAGGCAAATATGGTGCCTTCACTACGATAAAAATTACCTTCTAGCTCTGGACCCTCCTCGACTTCACTTTGATTTACCCCAAACGTCAGCGCATGCATCAAGCAAAGCTGTGAACATCAGAGCCACCTTCTCATTTGTAACTGATGATGATGATCTGTAATCACCTGCTGCTGCCTCTGCCCAAAGGCACTTTCAACCCTGGAAACTCCCACAATTTTGCCTTCTGTATTATTTTTGCAAGTGCATCTCTAGCTTGAGCAATAATGAAAAGCTGCGTTTTGCATATAGGTAAAATGAAGTGGCATCACCTTGCTGGCAGCAGTAAAAATACTGTTTTACAAAGATGTTGCTGCATTTTAACTCTTTGGTCTTAAGAGCTATTTTATTTGTTTGTTTGTTTGCAGGGGCCACCACTGGAAGAACCTTTATGGGCTCCTAATGACATGCAGGTGGACGATTTGCTTACGATAATTAAGGTAGGAAGAAGTGTTGGTAATTTTGGCATCTTGGCATTTGTCCTCTCCTTGAAATAAAATCACACTGGCTGGTGGTCGGCCAGTCATCGCTCTATTTTAGGGTTCAGTACACAACGATGGCAATATGGAGCAGCACACAGCCAAGGCATTAACTTGTGTTAAAGTGTCCCTTTAAACACAGGGGGAAGGGAGATCTTTTTTAAGAACTACCTGGGAACATAACTAAGTGGAAAAAATCTGACTTCCTCCCCTGAAGTATAATAAAGTCTCTGTTGGTGCAGAGTTGGAAGGGGCATGACTCTTATTTGAGAGCACTCAGCACAGGGATTATTTTGTTCTCCTGAAATGTAGTGGTTGAGTTGGAATTTGGGTTCTAACTTGCCATCTCAAAAAAAAATTTAAAAAAAAAAATATGTTTTGTTAGTTTATTTTCATCATCTTGAGCTTCTGTGGAAAGCTGGTCTATCTCCAAATGTGGCAAGAGAGTCCTCAATTCTTGATTAATGAATGGAGGAAAATCCCTGATGCTGAAGGCACTAAACTACTGGATAAATTTGGAAAAGAAAATACAAATGTGTGCAGAGTTAAATGTATTAATAAGTAGTTTTTATGATACTTTAATATCTGGATTCTTGTCTTGCTGGGTCTTTTCTGCTACGGCTGTTGTGCTCGGAAGCATCACCAGGGAGGTGCAGTGGTCACTGCTGGGCTCTGCCTCCTCTTGCACTAGGAACGAGGTCTTCACCGTAGCCACCATATAGACTCCGAAGTGTGAGTCAGCCTTTCACCTTGCAGTCAGAAAACCTCAAAAAGTCATCTTGATGTTACTCAGGCAAGAAGACCCGATGCATTTCCAGGCTTTGCTCTACACACACGTAACATTTCAATCTACCAGCTTGAAGAGGTGGCAGAGCTGTCTCTGAGTTCCCACCAAAGTATCAGACCTCTGCGATCTGCCAATACCCAAAATACAGCAAAGTTGGATTCTCCACTTCGGAGCCCAGTGAGACCAGCGTCACGGACAGGATTCAGTTCTTGCATTTATTTAGACAGTAAACATTTAAGAAAGTAACAGAGGTGAACATGGCATGTGTTACAACTATCCTGCTTTAACACAGGCTTTGCTTTATATTGCAATTGGGGTTTACGCTTCTTATTAGCACGGGTGGAATTAGTCGTTTGGTTGGTGTTTAGTGTCGGGTCGTTTACTGGCTGCGTAGTTGGAGGGAGAGGGGGAAATTCAAGCTGTAACAAGAGCAAATTCTTTTAATACAGGTTTACGGTTCTCAAATGTATTTGTACTTTTTGTTTGGCTTACGATAAGATGCACTACTGTGGAATTTGCTTGGAGCAGGGATTTGCATGAATTATTGTTTCTTACAAAATGAACATCTGTGTGGGCCTTCTCCCTGTGCTCCACGGCACAGGAGCACCCACTAGAAGGATTTGTGTGCCTTGATGCTGCAGTCAGCAAAAGCCAAGTGCTCGGGGGAAGGAGAGATGGAATAATAGAAACAAAGCTGCTGAAGTCAAGGGGAAAACTCCTGGGCTGTGCCATGGCATCTGGATACGCGTGTTTGTTTGATGTGCTGACTTCTGCTCATCGCAGCGCGATTTTTTAAAAAGCACCGTCCTCCTGTTGGGAGAAACTTGGGACAATTATGCTTGGCCTCTTGCTGAGTTCAGTTTTGTAATTAGGAAGTATAATGCCATCCATCAGAGGAGCTGCTGGTTGAAACAGTGTGGCCCAAAAATACGTAGAAGTTGGAAGTAAACAATCATTGTGGATGGTCTCTTGATTCTGCACTTAAAGCATTTCATTTGAAGGGTTTCACATTCTCGTAGAGAGATCTTTCTGTAAATCACTAATTAAGCAAATTAGCTACAGTGTCATCAGTCTGTCTACAAAAAGCAAGAAGCTGATGTTTTGAAGAAACCTTCAAGCTGCAGACTCAAATTATCCAATATTTAAAATTACGATGTCTCATAGGAAGAACGATGAGAGAATCGCTTGAAGTTTGGGTGACTTAAAACCAAGTTTCATGTAGAAAGGCAAGCTTTTTATTTTACGCAAAATTCCACATGGATGCTAAACCTGTCATCCTCCCTTAAAATTTGACTAAACCTGTTGATATTAAATAATTTGCTTGGAATTCTTTATTTGCTTCTTGTAGACAGTAGAAAAAGTTAAGGTAGATGTGTTAGGATGTTCAACTAAAGTACTTTGTGTAATGTACTTATTTTCTCAAAAAAATCAGCTTTGATGGGGGAAAACGAGGTGGAAGAATTTCTTCATTCACTGAACTAAATCCCCACGAGCCAGAGCATCAGGTGCAGGTGTGAGCGATGAGACGGGTGGGACATTAGTGGTCCCACCATTCGTGCGAATGGTCCTGGGTCGGGAAGAGCACCGGCGTGTGTTGAAAGCAGCAGGAGCAAGGTGTACGGTGTGATGGAGACGTGGCGTTGTGCTGAGCCATCCGTATTTGAGCATGCAAAACATTGCCAGATACGCTGATTAATAGTTGCCAGCTGATGCAGGTACCATTGGGGCAGTGTGTGTGTGTGTGTGTGTGGGCACCAGCGGGTTTTTTGAGCGTGTTACAGTTGTGGTCAGAGGTCAGTACTTACTGTGAGCTACTCAAAAGGGCAGAAAACCATCCAGGCGTGGAGGTGACAGTCATATCGATACCAGCGCTGAGCCGCGTGCTGCTTTTTGCCGAGAGGGTGAGTGCTAAAACCACATACCTTGTTCCAGCAAAGTCCATCCGAAGCCATTCGCTACCATCGGACCATCCCCACCCTTCCCTGTCCCTCTTCCAGCTGCCTTGCCAACATCTTTTGGGAGGCGGGAGCCAAGCCGACGTGCCCTGTGGGTTTGCAGAACAGCTTTGACACGTGTGGTTTTCTTCTCACCAGTTCCAACAGTGCCCATCACCGAGCTGGTGTTTTCGGTGCTACCCACAGTAACTGAAAGATCCTTCCTGAGAGATAAGAGTCAGTAATTGTGGTCGGCTCGTTCCTCTGGTATGTGCTCCCGTATTAACTTGAAATTTAATTTGTCATCGGAGCGCTGCTGCTGCGTGGCTCCGTCCCCTCCAGCACGGAGGCACCGGCTGCGGCGTCTGTTGGACCCTGCACCCTCTGTCTTCAAGACTGCTCTTCAGAAAAATGCATTGGTGCCGGAGCTTTACCTCCTCACTGAGTACACACAGCTGTGAGCAAACTGCAGGAGAAGCGAGAAGAGGAGGTGACGGGTCAGGACCCATCCCAGTCCTGCACTGGTTTATCCTGGTGGCTTTTGCGCTGGATGGTGACCAAGCCAAGAAGTGCTTTTTCCCCCCACTTGGAAGATTTGCTCCTGTAGTTTCGTTCGAAGCCACCAGCAGCTGTAGACCTTCTGGAACCTTTAAAGATCACTGTCAAATTTTGGCACTGGTGCAGGCTGACCCTTGGAGGGCTTTTTGGAAAGGCAGACGTTGCCCCGAGACCAGAAACCACAAATCACTGGTGCTCCTAAATCCCATCGGCACTTCCCCCCACCTCTTTCCTAGGGAGCTTCAAACTTCTACATGGAATTTGACGTCACTGATGCGAGCTGACCTGGCCTGCTGCGTGCTAAAAATATGCTGGGATTTGTAGGAACTGTTTCACGACCTGTCAGTACTGAGCACACACCTCCAGCGTTGGGCTGTTGAAGCTGACTGCGGGCTGGGGAGGTGAAGGAGACAGCTGCTTGCAGAAACCACACCGGGCAGCGTGTCGGGACCTGCAACTCGTACCTGGAGCTGCTGTGTATAAATAAACACATCCACCCTCCATCATATTTCTGACAACTGCCTCCCGTAATAGTAATTTTTTTTTTTTTTTTTTTTTTTTCAGCAGCTTGTTCTGCAAGGAGGTTTCCTCTTGCAGGTGTTTAGGAAGACCTCGTTTTTATGTTAATTCGGTGTTAACTATCAGTGTACAGCATCAACTGCTCTTGCCTCCTTCTGATTTTTATTGAAATTCAGTCCTGAAAAACTGATACCAGCAACTGATGTACCTGTCACCTGAATCAGGCAGGAAACTGCACCAAATTGGTGGTTGCCTCAAAAAATACCTTGCCAGCCTTTGGTCTCCGGAGTGTAGCAACCACAGCGTCAGCTTTCAGGGGGGTTGCAGCTGCAGTCTGGAGCCTGGGTTCAGGTTTTTAGTGGCTTTTGCTTGCTAAGTTTGAGGGCTTCCTCAACATCTTGTCTCCACTGAGATCAAGCAATGCTCATTATGGCTAAACACAGTTACTGCTAATAGTGGTTGGACCTGACTCGATAGGCACAAATTTTTTTTCACGTTGATGGCATCAGACACCTCTCTGATAATATTTGGTCCCATGAAAGGGTTGAGTTGATCCACATATCCTTCAATAAAATAGAATCAGGCAGATAAAATATTAGGTGTTTTAAATTACTGTTTTTACCGCTCAAAGTGGATCTTTTTCTGAGCAAATAATGCTTACTAGCTCCAGCCAAACCTGTGTTGCTCTGAGTGATCAATATTGTGTAACAGATGTGAAGGCGAGTTCCTCGCTGCTGGAAAGTTTATGTTCTCCTGTTCAGAATGATGAGAGGAGGTGACAAGACAAAGAAGTGAAGACATGGAAGGGATGATGTTTGGGCTCCTTCATCATCGCTGGGATCCGGGAGGTGCCTCTGCGAAGGATGGAGTGGTGTGGGGTCACCTTTAATTTCAACCGGTGGTGCCCGTCCCTGCTTTTTCAGGGCATCCTTCATGCTGATATTAGCTTTTCACCCCGCCATCCTCACGGTTTTGGGAGAGTGTGTTAGCAGAGAAGATCCCTGCTGTCTGATGGTGGAAAGCAAACAGAGAAGAGCAGATGGAATGTCTTCAGCAACCCCAACTTCGGGTAGCAGTGGCATCCCTGTAGCACAGGAGGCTTCCATCAGTGGCTGTGCAAAGCCTTGGGCAGACCTGATGGCAGAAATGCCTGGTTAAATAAG